TGGTAATCAAGAGGATATAAAAGATTAAAGCCCTTTTTAATAAGCCTGGGTCTGGGCTGGGAAGAGGGACATCAAATAAATCATTGTGCATGGTATTCAAACCAAATTTGGCTGAAATAACCCAAAGGATATCATAGCAAGGATTATTTTTTTTTTAACAGCTTTTGCTGTGTGCTTGGTGGTGGAGGGTTGCAGGGGAGGCAGAGCCTCACCTCTCTGCAGCGCTGCTCCAATTGCAACAGGAAAGCAAAGGTTAAAACCCTGCTCTAAGAGTCCTCGAGCTCCACAGGCCTATTTATTAAATTATTTTAAAAGTGCTAAGACAAATTAGAGTCTTGCTTCTTTTCCCTGGGGTGTCCTAATGCCAGCGAGGCAGCGATTCCTGCGGGGCTTCACGAGTAAAGGAGCAGCAGGGCTGTCTGGCTTTGTCCCCTCGGCACCAGGGAGGCACCTGAGGTTACCCAGAGGCTCTTCCCACCCTCCTCCCCATCACCCACGCACATCCAAAACCCTTTCAGCCAGGGACTAAGGTCCTGGGGTGTTATCTTTACATTAAAAATCAGTGGAACAAAGGTCCTGTGGCTTTTACCTGCTGCGGGAGGCAGAGCTCAGCCATAGCACGCTCCTCCTGCTCTAGCCATAAAAATCACCAGTTTTGGGGTCTGTGGGTGTGCTAATTACCAGGAGACAAAAAATTTGCCTCAAACACCTGCCCTGTTGGTGTCACTGTTGTGATTTACCCATGGGATGAATTTAGGGCCTGCAGCATCTCTCTTTTCCAGGTTGTGCAGGGTCAGAGCCTTAGCCCTGTGTCAACACTTCACATGGGAACCTGAATCTGAGCTCCGTGGGGGTGTCAGCCGGGGGCTGTGCACACCTGAGGTCCCTGCACACCTGGCTGGGACCCTCCTGCTCCCATTGTCCCCAGTGCTTGTCACTGGGGGGGTGAAATCGGGGGGCAGTGACTGCTACTGTACGGGAGCAATGAGGATGGAAGGAAGAAGAAATGGAAGACAGGAAAGGGTTTTGTAGGAAAACAGCAGCAGTGGGAACAAGAGCTGTTTGTAAAGATCCTATTCTTTGGCTCGGTGATGCTCCTGCCATGCTCATTTACACCCCGAGGAGCAACAGGGCAGGAGGACCTGGCTGGGTGGCAGCACCCCGGCACGCACAGTCTGTGGCTCCCTCTGCTGAGCCCGGCCTGGAGCTCTCGCAGGAGAGGAGCGATAGCTTGCACGGGGCTGGAAGCACTTTTTGGGATGGCTGCGATGCTTTGGGCTTGCCCAAAGCCAGGCAGGAGGACAGGGATGGGGACACCCACCCCACCGTGGGGTGATGCTGCATCGGGAGCCCCTGCGCAGGGCTGGAGGTGGCAGTGGCTTCAAAAAAAGCAGGGGCTAAACTGCCAGGATGATCTTTTATCTCATTAAAACTGGACAAAAAATTTGTTCTCTGTACAAAAGTGGGATATCTGACTGAGCTGGACAAGTTGTCCTCCAAACGGGATAGAGCAGCGGGAGGTTTTTTTAGAGGAAAGAAGGGAAATGTTGCTTTGCTCCTGCAGGCACCCACCCTGTAAGCGCTGCCCGCGGTTGCAGCACCAGGCCCTGCTCTGCCTGCGCCCGGCTTTCGGCTCCTTCCTAAGCAGGGGCAGAGCCGGGGGCATCTCCCACTGCTTGCTGCAGGGAGAGGGCTGCTCACCCCCAAATTAGACAGCGTGGGTCCATGATATACACTATAGGGGCTTCAAAGAGAAAGTGGGGAGCCAGGGAGGGGCCAGAGCACCTCAACACACCTGAAATAATGCATGGCAGAGCCCTGGTTGTGTCAGGCACTGGTTTTTAGCATCAAGCCCTAAATAAACCTTCCCCTGGCAGTCCCGCAAGCCATGTGCTGTGGGGTGCCGGGGTCCTGCAGCTGCCGGGAGGCTGCACTGGGGCTCCAGCCCATGCCAGGACCCCAAAACGCAGGGTGTGCGCGGGGATCCAAGGGCAGATCCAGAGCCTGAGGGTGCCGGTGCCAGCTTTACGTTACAGAGCTGTTTGCAGAGCCCTCGGCTGGCAGGCAGGCAAATAAAAATAGCTCGGGGACACTGCTGAGCCCGGCGGTGAAGGCACTGGCAAACGTCTCCGCCACCGCAGCTGGATGGGGCTGGGCTGCACAAAGCTGCAACCGGCCCCCCGCAGCCGGGTGCTCCGTCCCCAGTGAGGTTTGGCATCGCTGTCCCATCACGAGGGGGTGACAGAGGCCACGATGAGTTTGCAAAACCCTAATGTCCCTGGCTGTGAGCCTCATGCTGCCGGAGAGAGCAGGGATCTAATGGGTTTGGGGAGCAGGCTCCTTGCTTGAAGGCAGCCCCTCGTTATCCCCCAGCCAGACACCTTGGGGAATTAATTATTTCCTCTCCACCCAGATTAAACTTTTCTATAATGGGAAATCCCAGCCCTCCACCAGTGATTGTTCCCCTGGGTGGTAAATGGGAGCGCTTTGCACCTGCACGGGGAGCCTGAGGTCAGGACACGCCAGGAGCAGGCTGCATCTCCTCCAGCCTCTCAGGCAGGCTCAAAAAAAAAAAAAAAAAAAAGAAAAAAAAAAGTCCCTATTATAAGAAAAAGGGGTGTGTGTGTCCCACACAGGTGACAGCACACTGCTGTGAGACGTGCCAGGGACACCGCACAGCCTGGGGCTGTCCCACCAGCTCCGAGGGGCTGGGATGGGAGAAAGCTGCAAAACCACAGCCTGCGTGAGCCCGACTGCCCCAGCTCGCTGGCTGGAAGGGGCTCAAACGTGTCGTAATCGCCGAGCCCAGGCTGGTAAAGCTGGGATGGCTCCGCATCAACATCTCCTGACAGCATGGAAATGTTTCTTCCCCAGCCTTTCCTTTTTTAAGCCTGTTTCCAGTTAGCCCGTCAGCGGGCCCTGCGACTTTCCCTAACCGCACGGCTGCTGCAGACTTCCCTTGGAGCCCTTTCAGCCCGTCTAGCTCCAATTTTCCACCCTTTTTATTTATTATTATTCTTATTTTTTTTCTCCTTTCCCTTTTCATTCAATATTAGCGCAACAAACACGTGCTTTGAAACCCAGACTGCAGACGCACGTACGTGGAAAGTCAAACTGTTTGTGGAAGGAAAGAGCATTTCGCTGGGTTTTAGGTGAGGCTTTTCTTAGCCGCCCTGCGAGGGCGAGGCACTGTGTGGTCGGAGGGTGCCGATCCCTGTGTGCTGCTCTCCCAGACAGGGTAATTCGGGTGGGATCCAACACCTCTGCGAGGCACTGCCCAGGAGCATCTTTAAATGGAAGGAGCCTGAGGAGATGCTGCTGGGGGCTCGGCCTCCTGGTTGGGCTCAGCAGGGTTTTGCTGGGAGTTTCTTCCAGGGAGAAGCAGATGAGGCGCTCACACAACCTGAATAAGCCCATATTTGCAGGTCTTTTCCTCATGAAGGATGTTAGGCCCTTGAAGGGACGCTGTGACAGGGTGCCAGCCATCCTGGAGGTCTCTGGCGAGCACCTACAGCGTCCTCCTGCTGCAGGTGGTCGAGGAGCTGAGGGGAGATGCTGCACCTCCTGCTTGCAGGGGACAGGGACAGTGTATAAACATCCAGGGATGAGGCTTGGGTAGCCAAAATTCATGTGGATTTGGGTCTGGGGAGGGATGTGGTTGTGCAGGAGTCCCTGGGTCCTGAGGGGAGGCACCCATGGCTGCAGGAGCACCCAATGGGGTAGGCCGCTCTTGGTAATCTCAGGAAGGTCACGGTGATCGGGGAGGTTTCTGAGGCCTAGAACAAAGCAAATGTTACTCCTTCTCTCATGGAGGAGGCACTGGGGAGCTTGAAGGTGCTGGAGGAGCTAATCCTGGGCACAATTTCGACACCTGAAGGACACAGAGGTGATGGGAGCAGTCAGCGGGGGCTCACAGAGGGACGTCGGGCCTGGCCGGCCTTTAATGACGAGGCGGCGGGCCCAGTGGTCGAGGGGCAAGGGCGGGTGTTTTATTTTGGCTTTAGTGAGCTTTTGGCTTTAGTGAACAACTCAGCTGTTGTCCTAGGCTCCCCAGTGCAGGAGAGGGATGAGCACAGTGATGGGCCACGAGGCTGATTTAGGGCTCAGGGTGGTTGTCCTTATGGGAAGAGGCTGGAGGAGCTGGGGCCAAGAGCCTGAAGTGGAGGCTCAGGACGTTCCTACTGATGTCTGTAAGCACCTGATGGGGGTAAAAAAGGCAGAGCCAGGCTCTTCTCAGAGACACAGGGGGCAATGGGCACAAGCTGAAGTCCAGGAAATTCCATTTACGTGCCAAAAAATGCTTCTTTTTTACTGTAAGGGTGGTCTAAGCCCAGAACAAGCTGCACAGCAAGGTTGTGAGGGTGCCACCCCTGGAGATGTCCCAAACCCCATCAGCTGAGGTCCCAAGGGCTGGGTGGGACGATGATGTGCTCATGCCATGTACTGAGCTCTGCCTCTCAGGGTTTAGTACAAGGTTTAGTGCTAAAACAAAAGTTGGTTCTGCCCAGAGAGGAGCTGTTGGGAACATGCCAGCCCTTAAAGACCCCACAAAAGCTGAGAAAATATGGGAAAACCAGAAGTCGTGGTCCTCACAGCGATTCAGCCCAGCCTTACGGCATGACTCAAATGCTGGGGCTTGCTGACAAACCGCTTCCCCCACGTGCAAGGGGAAATTCTGCTGGTGTCCCGATTCCTGGAGCCCCAATTCCTGCCGATTTCCAAAGAAATCTGCTATCAGCACAGCTGCCAGCGCGTGGGCAGCCCAAGGGGACAGATAAGAGGCTGCGTGGGGAATGCCGGGGATTTGTAAGCAGCAAACTCCTACCATGGGATTTATATAAAGCGAAAACAACCGCCCCGCAGAGCTGAGCTACTCCTTTCCTCCCATCCTTTACCCCACCAGGCTGGCCATTTATTTTGTGTTTTTTATTATTTTTTTTTTAAGCAACCATCTGCCAACCTGCCAAAAAGAGAGTAAATAAAGAGGCGACACACCCCAGTGTTACAAAACCTTGTATTAATCATCTCCCTTCACTTTCAATATAACGTTGATATGAAATATAGCCATGATTCCTAGTTACATGGGAGGAAATGAGTAATAAATACATTGGAGCAAGTTTAAATCACAAGGGTGTTTCACTGGTAACAACATTTGAAAACTGTACACTTGCAAAGACCAGCATCTCCAAACATTAGTATTTCTTTATATCAGGAAGCTTTTACATGTAACAAACATGCTATTTCCATATATGACAAAATTTAAAAAATATGCATTGCTTGGCAACATTAACTAGGCAAAAATATTTCTTTGTGCACTAACTTTGTACAGAAAAAACAGGACTAAATGCATGCATGTACAATAAAAGTCTGCCCGGAAACGGCATGCAACAGAAGAGAGTTCAAAGCTCTTTAAAGTAAGCTTACAATATGCATAAATACATAAGGGTTATATATTAATAAGGGAGGAAGTTTTCTGTTTAACATTATTAACATTCCTGTTTTTTGTGTTTTTTTTTTTTTTTTTTTTTCTTCCTATTCCTCCCAGAGGAATACACATTCACCTTTAAGTAAAGATAAAGGAATACAAAAAATAAAACTCACTTTGCAAACTCTGATGACTTGTATAAAATCAACTTTAGTGTTCTATCGGAGCTGTGTGCAAATTATACGTCTGCAGGACCTACTTTTCCATCAGGCACATCCAGAAAGCCAACCCGGGAGGGGCGCATCCCCGCGCCCCGACATGGAGAAAGGTGACAACAGAAATCCTCGCGCTACGTGCTGACCCAACCCTGGCCCGTGGCGGACCCCCCCCAGCGATTTGTGTCACGAGCCGAGCACCCAAAGGTGCCGGCTCGCATCAAGCGCCCGCGCTCCTGGCTCGGCGAAGGCCTCGTCCTTTTCGGGGAAGGACGGCGACACCTCAAAAGAAAAGGGCTTTTCCTCAGCGTCGCGGCCCCGCGGGGCCATCCCGGATTGGGGTGCCGGGTTTGGGGCCGCGGGCATCAGCACCAGGAGCCGGTGGGAGCCGCCGGGGCCACGTGCCCGACGTGGGGCGAGACCAAAAATTTGGTGAGCGCCGGCGGGCCGGGAGCCGCAGGGAACAGTTGCACGTGGGGTGAACGGGTGAATACAAAAAAGAAAGGCACTGCCGCTTTATTACTAAATATTTGACTTCACAGCCTCATTCATGCAACTGTTTTTTTTTTTTTTTCAGTTTTATTTTTTTATAAATAATTTTATTATTATTTTTTTTAATCTTAGGATTTTATTTGCGCGTTTCTTTTTTTTTTTTTTTAAACAGGGCTCTGTTACCTGCACTCAGCACAGGCCTCCCACAGAGCCAGGAAGGACTTCCAAAATGTAACTGAAGCCACTTTTTTTTTTTGTTTTTTCTTTTTTTTTACTTAAAAACAAGGAACAGCAAACGCAACTAAGTAGTTATTAACCTATACACTGTCAATGGAAAATAAGCTTAAAAAAAAAAAAGAAAAAACAACAACAAAAAAAAGAAAAAACAACAAAAAAGAAAAAAACAACGAATTATTTGGTGGTTGTTAATAACAGACATTATCATGGTTACCAGCCATAGCAAGTTCACAAGTAATATATCCAAAATAATCTCTCTAACAATCAGATAACCTCTGTTTCTATATTCAGCAAAGGAATAAATAGAATCTCAGCTTCGGGTCTTCCTTTCCAAAGCCTGGCGCAGCGGTGCTCGCGCTGGCCGCGGGTGCTGGGTGCCCCCCAGCCTCGCCGCGTCCCCTCCCCTGCCCCGCTCGTTTTCAGGCTCCTCGCAACACTTCCCAGCCCCTCCTGGGCTCTGGTTTTCCTCCTCCACTCTCCTCCCCCCGGTAAACATCACCTCAAGCCTTCCGGTAAACAGGAAACCAAGAAATAGCAAACATAAAACATTTGGCACTTCTTTTTTTTTTTCCTCATATATATATAAAACTACTTCAAAATGCTGCATCAAAAATGGGTTTCCAGATCTGCCAGCAGCCGCCCTCAGCCCTGCTCAGCCCTCAGCCCACTTTGGCAATGCCCCTGCCAAGGGCTTGGCCTCAAAACCCCGCTCCCAGCAGAGGTTTTTGGCCGAGCCCCTTCTGGCAACGCTGCCGTGACCCCGCTCGCAGCCTCCACTTAGCTCAGCCCGGGCTTACAGCAAAACCAACCCGCAGGAGACCACCCTCCTGCCTTGAGCAGTCCAGATTTCGTTAATTGTTATTAATTTCCTCCACCAAGGCTCTTAGAGGAGGTGGGCACGAGCCACCGTGACCCACATCCCTCCCTGGTGCGTTTCGTGCCCCAAACCGCAGCGGCCTTTTGGTGCTCGCTGCGCTCTCACTCGGTTATTTGTGCACGATAAATGTGTGCACGCTCCCAAACCTCCCCTCACCTGGCGGCCAGGACCCTCCTGGCCATCCCAGGGCTGGAAAAACCCCTTTTTAACGGGGTTTTGATGGGATTTAGGGGCGATCCGGGCAGGCTGGGCAGATGTGTAAAGCCAGGATGCAGCACCTTCCCGCTACCCACAAGACAGAGAAACGGACACTCACCGCACACAGCATCGCCCCCTCGCCAACATCCCCGGGCCCTTGGCCTCGCCGGCCACCACGAGGGCGGCCGGACAGACGGACAGACGGACGGGCAGATGGACACGACCCCCCTCTCCCCCAGCAGCGGGAGGGGAGCGCGTGCCCTTCCTTCGACACCGCTGCCGCGTAAGCAACAGGCAGGTCGCCATTTCGGGTGCAAAACTGAAAGGAAGGTTTGTTGGATTGTGTTTTTTTTTTTAATTATTTTTTTTTGTTGTTTTATTTTTGAATTTGCTCGCCCTTTTTTTTGGCTGCTGGTCCAGCCCCTGAACTCAGCCAAACGCGAGCCGGCGATGCCATGGGGCGTTTTTGCAAATGGCACCGGTGGGACAAGGCCAGGGACCGGGCAGGTGGCAGCACCCACGAGGTCCCCACCAACCCCAGCCCTTGCAAATCCTCCCCAAAGGGCTTTGGGCACCCGCAGGTGCTATGGATTCGTTGCCTGGTTCAGAAACAGGGTCTGCCCACGGTGCGCTGGTGAAACCTCACTGTCAGCACCTTCCTGCCGCGTCCCCCCCCACCCTCCCCATGCTTTTTGTTTTTTTTTCCCATCATCGCCATTTATTTTTTTTTGCTGTTTCCCCCCCCTCTTAGCATGGATGTAATAAATGACAACACAAATTCCAAGTCTAGTGATATGTTCACAAGGACAATCTACACATTCACAAAATTAAAACAGGAGAGAGAGAGAGATAGAGAGAGAGGAGAGAAAGAGAGAAAAGGATGCAAGCTGTCGCTGAGGCTCCCGCGCGCGCCCGGACCTCGCCGCTGGACCCGCAGCAGTTGTTCTCCCGGCCAGCGCCGCCGCCACGCCGTCCTCTAGATCGTGGAGGTCCGGTCGACACCATCTGCAAGCAGAAAGGGAAAATTAAAAGGGTCCTGGGGGCTCACACTGCTCCGCTCCCCCCCCCAGCGACGCCCTGCAGTGAGATGGTAGCGGGGTTATTCCCCTCCTTACATCCTTGCAGTGGGGTGTGGGAGGGTTTTGGGGTGCTGGTGCTGCCCTCCCCGGTCCCTGTCCCACCCCTGGATGTTTCTGCCCTGTCCCCAGGTCACTTTGTTCAGGAGCAGAGGGGGTTTGGGCAGCTTGGGCTTGTGGTGATGTGGGTGCGAGTTTGGGACCCCCAAACTGTCCCAACTGCATGGGGACAGGGCTGGAGCTGGCCCCGGGGAGCTGCCTTGTCCCCATCCCAGCTAATCCAGCCCGGCAACGCCTGTGCTGCAGGGATGGACACACAAAAACCCCACAGGTCACTTCTGGCTGCCCCCAGCCCCCAATCCCCGTCCCAGCAGGGCTGCATCCAGCCGCAGCCCAGAGCCCAGCAGTGAGGGATGCGCGACCCACCCCAAAACTGCACAAACAACCCTGCTGTGAGCACCTCCCTCCCCTCCTCCCCGGCGCACCGGGAGCTTTTACCGGGGCACAAAGCACACCCTGACCCCATTCCCAGCCCTCTGGGCCGGCTCCCACAACACCAGCTGCTCCCCTGCAGGAGCCGGGGCAGAGCCCAAGAGCTCCTCGGCACCCCCCAAAGACCCCATCCCAAACCCCCGGGGCGCACAGTGGTGCTGCCCTCTCCTCCACCACCCTGCACAGTGCAGAAGGGGCTGGGATATGCTCGGGGGGGGGCACACGGGGACAGGACACAGCGGGTTTTGTCACACCGCCCCGAGCACCGCCGCCGCCTCTCCTTCAGCTCGGCCGGGCGGAATTTCAGACTTGAAAACAAACAGGTTTGTTACTCTTTTTTTTTTTTTTCCCCCAAAGGTTTATTATTATTAATATTATTACTATTATTATTTTTTTTTGCAGAGCTATTTATAGCACGACCGCTTCGGAGAGGCTTGGGGTATGCGATCTGGGAAAAAAAAATAACTCGGAGGAGCAGTACCCTGCGGAGGAACAACACAGTTAAGCCTCGCCTGGGCACACGCCGGAGGAACGCTTCGGGTGACAGCAGTGTCCTTGTTTTCACGGCCAGGGGTGCTGCCAGCACCCTGCTGCCTCGTACAGTCCTCGCTCCCACGTCTCTCTCTCTCTGTCTCTCTCCCCGGGACGGGCCGTGCCATCGCTGCAGGGAGCCGCGCCGGGGGCACCCGTCCTCCCCGCGGGCTCCCGTCCTCCACCGTCCGTCCGTCCGCGACTTTCAGGGCACGAGCTGGGAATTCGGGAGGGTCTGGGCGCCGCGGGCTGCTGAGCTCGTCCCATTTTTGCAGGCTGGGCTGGGGGCTCCCGTGCTATCCGCGCTGGCAGGTCCGCTGCATCGGTCGGGGGCGCGTGCGGTGCCTCCCCGGGGGTCTCCTCGCCCACCTTCCCTGCCCCTGCTGCAGCCTGGCCCCCTCCTCCCTCCCCACACCTCATCCCCACGGACATCCCGGGCTGCCAGCATCGCTGGCGCTGCACCCACAACGGGACAGCTCCAGCCCCGGGGTGCCTCGGGGCTCCTGCATCCCCCAGCAAAGCGGGGCTGGGGCTGGCAGAGGGGTAAAATGCTCCAAAGCCTGTGAACCAGGTGGCGTTGCCGCTAACTAACAGCAGACTAGTGAGCTACCACTAATTACGGTTAGCAAGCTAATTAGTGGCTACGAAGCACGGGCTGTGCTAGTGCTGGCCGCGACCCCTGCCTTCGGTTTTACCCCTCTGCCCCGACGCGGGAGCAGCGTCCGTCCCGGCCCCGTCCCTCAGAGCCACAGCCTGTCCCAGCCCTTGGGGGGCGCGGGGCAGCTCCCGGGGGGCTCGGTTGAGGCCGCTTGGACGTGCTGGAAGAGCCCGAGGAGGAGGGAGTGCTCACCGCTGAGCGCGTGCTCCGTCATGCTCAGGCACAGGGACTCCAGCCTGTTGTTGATGTCAGGTTCAGTCACCGGCACCTGGAACTCTGCAGGAGACAAGGACAGGAGATCCCGGTCAGGGGATGTGCTGGGGACCCTGCCCCGTGCTCCAAAGAGCACTTATGGGGTGGGAAATGCCCTTTTGGGTGGGTTTCTCCAACTCCAGGCAAGACCCACCCGCATCCCAAGGCCGTTGTTATTGGATTTGGCACTTCACTTTCTGATGCAATAACCTCAGGCAAGGGAAGTTTGCCAAAATCGTCATTTTCGCCCCATATTTGCTAGCAAGGAGGTGTAATTTGGGATTGCAACAGCAGATGAATGGACACAAGGGGTGGGGGGCTGCTGCCGAGCCCCTTGGCTTTTCCATAGGTGGCCAAAAGGCGCCGCTCCTTCCCTTCCCTAAATACCCCACTGTAACCGATCCGCGACCCTATCCCAGGCAGTATTTCAGGGTCAAATGCGCCCCGGTGCAGGCTTTAAATAGCACACACGTGTGAGGCTGCACTCGGTCCCCAACCCCAGCCAGCCCCGGGGGCTTGCAGGACCCCAGCGAGGATCCGCCGCGGTGCCCAGAGCCCATTGATCCACCCCCGAAGCGTGCCCTTGTCTTGGGGTTTGACCTACAGCCGAGAGCAGGCGCTGCTTTTGCCATACAGGACTTCTACTGCCAAAATCAGGCGGGTCAAACACCACACTGCCCTGTCCCTCGTGATGAGCTGCTACGGGAAGAGCATCAGTAAGAAAAACCATGCTCAGAGGATGATGAAAAAGGGGACGTGCATCCCCATGGGAAGGACGGTCTCTTTATAGGGTCAGGCTCTGTCCCCGCTTCACTCCGCCCCGTGCTCTGACCAAGGGCACCCCGGTGGCTGCTTCCACGCCGCGGACACTCGTTCCTTTTGAGGTGTGGATAACAAAAAAAAAAAGGTTTGCTTCCTACCTGGCTGCTGGAACATCAGCATGGTCTGCGGGGAGGTGTGCACCGGCAGCGAGCGCGTCCTCTGCACCGAGCTGTGGCTGCGGCTGGGCATGCTGTTGCTGCCCCCGGGGTTGGCAAACCAGAGGTTCTGCGGGGGAAAAACAACGGGACGGCGTGAGGTGTGAAACAGCACGAGGTGTACGGTGATGTAAACGAGATGTAAAAGGTGTGAGATGTTCGACAATGTCCATAGGGACATCGGCTCCACCATCCCCACGGGTCTGAGCCCCTTCACCCTGCAGCCCTGTGTTTATTAATTGAGTTTATGAACGAGTTTCATGCACCCCTACAAAAAACAGCCCCCCCGTGGGCTCATTTTCCCCCTCCAAGCGGCCGTGTGCCCCCCTATCCCTATCCCTTTTCCCTGCCCCTCTGCAGGGAGGGGAGCGCCCGCAGGTAACCCCGCACCCTGCACACGCGCGCCTTGGGCTTAAAAACGGGAAATCTGGGCAAATTTGAGGAGGAAAAGCCAAGAAACCGTATCGAGCCGTGACCAACCTGCCTGCCTTGCTTGAGGATGGCGGGGCTGGCGGCGGGGCTGCGCTGGGGGGTGCCCAGCAGCCCACTGGGCCCCAGCAGCCCCAGGCGGGCGGTGGGGAGGTTGCGGGAGGGGATCTGGAACTGGCGGGGGTTTCGCCTGCCCAGCCCTGCCCCGGCGGATCCGGCGGTCGGCAAGGAGTTGGACTGGCCAAAGCCTCGGCTGCGGAGAGAAAAAACATCGGGGTGAGGTGGTGGGGGGTTGTTGTGGGGTCCCGCTGCGGACCCCAGCCCGCAGAGCGGTCCCGCAGCATCCTTCCTCCTGTGGGAGCCCCCCTCCCGCACTTCCCAGGTTGACATTCATTTTTTTTAGGGTTATTTTGCTGGTGCGAAGAGCAAAACGGCCCGGAGCTGAGCTCAGACCTCGTTTGGGCAGACCCCGAGCTCAGGACACGAAACTGCCTGAGCCCCCACGGGGTCGGCTGTGCCAGCATCCCTCCCCAGGGTGGTTTTGTGCATTTAAAAGCAAGGAGAGGAACGAGACAAAAACAACCGGATAATCCTCGGGAAGCCACGCAGCGGGTTTCCGACCGTGCTCAGAAGCCACGGGCGGGCTGGGATCCCAAAACTGGATCAAGCTGCTGGGCGGAAGCACGGCTGAGTTTCTTTAAACCTCGGCCAAAAAAATGCTCTTGCCATTCGGTCCACGAGCGCCGTGAGAAAGGCAGAATTGGCCGCGTGGTCTCGAGGCGTCCCAGGAGCAGGAGGCTCAGAAGAAACTCAAAGTGCAACCCACCAGCACCCGGAGGCAGCGAGGGAACCCAAGAGCAGCTCGAGAGCATCCCCCTGGCGGCTCTGCCAAAGGGACTGTGAGCATTTGGGGCTGGCATCTCCACCTTGTGCCAGGGGCCGGACCAAATGGGTCCGTGAAAACCTCTGTTCTTGTCTGTTCTGCTCCTGTGCCTCCTGTGAACACTGAAATTATTTGGATTTCCCATTCCAAAATGCTTCATTTCATTCTGCTGGGGAAAACTCCAGTTCTGCTTTCGTTGCTGTGGCGTCCCTGGATGTCCCAACACGGTTGGTTCTCCCCAGAATTATTATTATTTTTTTTTTTTTTGAGAAGGGAGAACTTGCACAAGCTTACAATTAAATACACTCAGCAGAACGAAACAAAAGGCTGACGTTATTGTTAAAACCGGGCTAAAAATATCCATTCTTGAAATAACCCAGCCGCTTTCTAGGATCACCCGTGTGGGCTCCCAATCTTTTTGCCATTTCAGGGCTTTTTGGTGCAACTCCAGCACTGGTATAAAGAGTAAAGGGGTGGAAGGACAGGGAGGGAAGGACAGGGCAAGCACTGGAGGATGCTCTCCTCTCTCTCAGCCCCTCACCGGCTGAGCTGCAATCTGTGAAATGGGTGCAGTTGTGCTTCCCTCCTGCTTTTTTGCCAGGTTTAATCCCTCCAGTGCCTGGGGCAGGGATAAGGCTGATGCTCGGCGCAGGGGTAGCACGAAGCAGCAGCATCCCTTGGAGCATCCCGGCCCCAAATGGGAGATTTGAAGCCGGGCACGGGGCCAGGCTCCGTCCCCAACCCCGCAGCCACCCCCAGCGCCCGCGTACCTCCGCTGCTGCCGATAGCCCGACAGCTCCAGGAGGGATTTCCGAGGGAAAGACCTAAAGAGTTTTTGCACCTGCTGTTTCCATGACAACAGCCGTTTCTTCTGGATCTCTGTAAACGCCTGGCCAAAAAGAGAGAAAACGGGGAAACACGTGAATGTTTTCCTGAGCGGAACGGGGAGGGATGTCTGTGTACGTGCGTGGAAAGAAGCAGGCAGCGGTGTGATCTGAACCCCACCAGTGGGTCCAGAAGCAAACCCTGGCCTCCCTCGGGGATTTACCCATCTCAGGACAAAGCTGTCACCCCCCTGGGCAGAGCAGGGCTTCCCCAAAACCCCCACTGTGTCCCCTCCCCATACTACCCCCGCATTGGACCCTGTTCCCATCTCTTTCTTGGGGCCAGGCTCTGCTCCTGACCCCAACACCCTTGGGGGGGTCACCTAGGGCGAGCCCCAAACCCTCGGGGCTCCCAGTAAAAGGTCACCCAGGCAGGGGACGGGACGGATCCGTCCCAAAACGGCCGCTGCTGCAGGCTGGTGGTGTGGGTTACGGGGGCACCCACGTGCCCGCCGCCGCTAACTTTAGACACCTCCGCGCCGCCAACGCAGAGGAGCAGAGGTCTCCGGAGGACAGCCTGCAGGCTAATTAGCACCTGGCTTGATTGCTCCGAGCCCACGGGGTGGCTGTGCCTGAGCTGTCCCCTTCCACAGCCCCGCACGGCTGTCCAAAAAGCCTCGGCACCGTTTCCAGGCCCTGATGCTCTCCAAAAAGCAAATAAGCTGCAGCACGATGCGCTCGCCCCTCCAGCTCCTTGCCCCTGCCCGTGTCTGTGCAAAGCACCAGGAAAAAAAACATCCCCGTGGGGCTGCCCCCTGCTCTTCCACTCTGTATTATGGGTTAGAAACCAGAGCGTTTCCATCAACAGGGACTTTGGGAACGGTTTCGGAGCGGTGAGAAGAGTTTGGTAGGATGTGCTGCCACTCACCTCGTGAATTAGACACTTGTCTATGAGCTGTAAATAGGAGCTTATGTTCTCTTCATCGGGTCGGGAAACTAAAAGCTGTGTGCATACTGCAAAAAAAAAAGAGGAGAGAAATGGTAACGGGGCTACTGAGCTGGGAGCAGGGCTTCAGATGCTCCATTTCCCTTCATCAATGAGAAAAAAAATGCCCGTCCCCAATTCCTGCCGTGCCGTCCTATCTTTAGGGCCAGATTTTGTTCTCAGTTACGCTGGTGAGCGTCCAGACGGGCACCTTCTAAGTCCCCAAAATTAGACCCGGGCAAACCAGGAGCGCAGGACCTGCCTGCCTTCCCCTCTCCCCATGACGACATGCGAAAGGCAGCGTCAGCAAGAAGATCTCCTGCTCCCAAAAGCTGCCCCCGCTGCGAACGGGCTCCCAGGGGTGACAGCAGGATTTCAACCTCTTTCTGAGTGCATGCTGTAAAAGCAAGCGCAGAGGAATCCCCTGGGAAATTTTACACCAAGTTCCTAGATAGAAAACGTGTTTTTTTGCAGAAAGGGCCTGAAGCAGGGACAAGGCTGGGGTTTCCTTTGAATCCCTACAATTTATTTCTGTTCCTGGTCTCCTGTGTGAGCCTGTGGATGGTCCCTGTCCCCCTCACCTCTGTGCAACCAGCACCAACACCTCAGATGGCACCGAGGGGAGGTAGGACACATCTGAGACCGCACAAACCTGCTACAACAGCCCTGTGTATGGCACATGATGCTGCTCCCCACCTCACATGTGTTAAGCCCAACACGATGCCCCGCACCCTACACCCGGCGTGGAACAGCCCCTGTGCATTTTGGTGTCCTGCATCCAAACCGGGGCTTAAAAAGGATCTCGGACCCAGCTTTTCTGCACTCAGGACGCCCAAAAAACCCCGCACCCACTCACCTTTCCCCATCACTCTGGTGAACTGGCCGGGCAGATCGCCTTCGGGCAAAGGGGCCCCCCCCGACTCGCCCTCGCAGCCCGGCAAGTGGTGCTGCTGCATACCCCCTGCGGCAGAGTCCTTGCAGTCGGAGCCTTGGCTGTCAGAGCCCAGCAGGGACGGGGGGTGATGCGAGTCCGCGTCCCGGCCGTGCTCCTCCGGGCTCGAGGTTTGGGAACAGTAGGCTTTGATGGGGGTGAGGATCATTTGGTGTAGTTCCTGCAGCGGGACGCGCAGGTTGCCGCCTTCCAGGATGTCCTGCGGATTGAAGAGAGGAGAAAAGGATTTGTAGTGGCAACGGGGCATCGGTTGAGAACCAGACCGGCACCATTCATCCCGGGAAAACCTCCTGTGAAGCCAGCTGTTATGGTGGATGTCCCCGTACACACTGGGCCAAACTGGGAGCACGGGTGCAGAGGTGGGAAAAGGTCAAGAGGAGCTGGGTGGGATGTGGTCGGAGACAGAAACGGAGACCAAAATGCTGCAGGTGAGCTGAAGTCCCTGTAGGAAAAGCGTTCAGCTTGGAGATACTGGGATCCCAAAGACCTGGAGTCAATCTGTTGGGCACTGCTTTCTGGGGAAAATTCCTGCTATGCTAACCAGCGGGGAGGGGTGGAGCGGCTCTTTCCAAGAAAGCAGCGATCTTTAGCAGCAAGACACTGCCCAAAAAAAAAATCAAGTCACACACATGCTCTTGTTTAGCCTCAAAAAAAAAAAAGAAAGAAAAAAAATTGGATAGGAAGCCTGGAAAAACAGAGCCGTATCCTCCCAAATACAGCGGGAGCTCACTGGCAGTGCTGAACCCCAGCCCAGCGTGGTACGGGGAAAACCCCCAGCCCAAATTCCCCCTGTGAGCACCCCAAATCAGCCCCTGGCACTTCTCTCCCTTGTCCTGCCGTGTGTGTGGCTGGCTGGGCCAGCTGGCCCGGGCTGGTGCTCCCGCACCACGACGGGCAATCAATACCATATTTCAAAACCGAGGCGGAGAATGAGGAGAAGAGGCTGTGCAACTGCCTGGAAAACACATCACCGAGGCGAGCTCCATCCAGTGGGCTGTCTCTCTCTCAGATTTAATAGTTATTATTAATATACGGGGGTAAATACGGCTTTACCAGCTCCTGCGATACTGAGCACAGTCCCACGTTATAAATAAATAGTGAAGCAGTGAGCTAACGAAAACACCAATAAATAGCAACACACCACAGAAGTATTTAAAAGCCCCTAGTGGGAGGCTGTGCGAGTTGCTGTTTGAGGATGGTGCAATTAAATATAATATAATATCGCAATAATAAATAGCGAGAGGCCAAGCGAGCTGCTCCCAGCAGGTCTGCTGTGCTGGCGCTCCTCTGCTTGACAAAAGCTGAGCGGACAAAGAAATTTCTCTTTGTTCTCCTCGGAAATTCAAAGTGCTGTCCAGGCACCATGATGTATGTTGGGTGGTGCCCTCCGTCACCTGGGGTTCGGGTGTTTTTGAGCAGCTGGAGGCACAACTGCTCCTTTCCCCCCAAAATACAGAGGAAAAGGCGAGGCAGGCTGGCAGTCACAGCTGGTAAGGCGGTAGCTGGGCTTGTGGCAGAGCTGCAGATAACATCCATCACAGCTCCGTGAGTGCAAGAGACAGATTAGAGCCCACTCTACAAAACGCTGCCCCCAGAAAAACCTGCATCTGGTACGGAATTGATGTGAGGCAGCGCTCAGATATGGGCAAGGCAACCACGGGTTTCTGCACAAAGGTCCCAGCAACAAGTGTGAGCAGGGAGTGCTGCACCCCAGCTAATCCGTGGCTATCGTTGCAATCAGAAAATAGGAAATATAAAAGTTGTTGTGATTACTTACCCTTTCTAAAGACTTGAGCAGGTTTTGTCTTTCTTTTAGCTTTTGGATACTGATGACTATTTTGTGTCTTGCGCCTTTGGTAACGTTCTGCAAAAGCAGCGGAGAGCCTGGCATTAACACTTCCACGGGACAGCTGCATCAACCCAAAGCCCTTCTCCCCGCAGTGGAAAGGGCTGCTACAAATTAATCAAATCCCTGATTTGCAAGGGGGCATGGAAAATCACTTAGAAATTTGCTAGAGGTGCAGATTTCCAGCTAGCCCCTTCCCTGGTACGTCTCGAACAGTGAGAGCAAAGGCCTTGAGCAGACCTCTTTATCTTAAAGATAAAGAGATCTGCTCAGGGGTAAATGAGGAAGGGGACATTTTCAAAGGTTAACAAGGAAACCAGCCATCAAAGTCCCGCTGCCTTCAAGGGGATCTAGGTACTGAAGACCCTAGAAATGTTCAGACTTGGTTTATCCAAATCAGACTTGGTTGATCCCAACCAGGCAAAACCCCAAGTGCAGCTCCAGCAGCTTGGAGGAGGATGGTAATTTCACCCCCGGACTGCAGTTAGAAGTCCTGGACGTGGCCTTTTCCAGGTACAACGTCCTTTTTTCACCCTCCTAATGCTCAATTTTCCTTTTTCTGGTTGCTCCCCAGCCATTAGCGGGCTAAACACCTTCCAGGCAAAGCCATAAGAGGTGCCCAAGGTGAGTGTCGTGGTCCTGGGAGCGACAGAAGGGTCCCTGATGGTTTTAGGACCGACAGCAGACGTACCTGTGCCTCCAGCTGGCATTCGGTGAGGGCCATCATCTCCTCGTACGTCATCTGCGAGAAGAGCGCCGCGTACTTGTGCAGCCGGAGACTCTTCAGCCAGGCTGGAACATCTGCAGCACAACGACAAGAGGAGAGCTCCCTCTTAGTTTCTGCTCAGTGACGCATGGTAACGACAGGAGGAGTCTATCAGGGGCTGGGTTCCCCGTGCCCTCTGCTATCCTAGAATCATTACGCTTGGAAAAGACCTCCAAGAGCACCTGCTCCAACCGTTCCCTATCACCAATGTCACCCACTAGACCTTGTAGCACCACAAGTGGTGCATCCAACCTTCAGGCACCTTTACTGAACCTCGCGGGACCCTTCAGAGATGAACTGCTGTGGATACCGATGGCTGAGAGGACCACCAACTGGATGAGGACACGTCCTCAGAGGTTGGGTTTTAGCCCCCTGGCTCTTGAAACCTCTCCGATCCATGCATTATTGCTTAAACCAAGATAAAACTATTGAAATCTGCTGCAGCCAAGCATCCCACCGAGCTCGGTGGACCTACCGCTATACACCGAGCCCCCTTTATCACCAGGGGCGTCCAAAACGACTTCAAAACCTGTCCGAAAGCTGCCTTGGCCACCTTGATGCCAACACCACCCTGCTGCAGACGGCGCGAGCTCGTGTCAGGAACACGGGAGCCGCAGGAGCGACCGGCGGGGCTGAGCCTGGGATGAGCAAACGGCTGTGCTGCAGACGGCGGGCATTGATTTATGGCGTGAGGGAAGCTGCTATGTGCTGAAAATTTAAACAGCCGCTTAAAGAGAAATAAAGAGGGTTTCATTATATACTTTTGAGCGCGGAGAAATGATGGGTTGTCAAAGGCGGCGCAACTCGCTGCAGTAGCTCCAGCCAGCCGGCAGCTATGCTGGGTCTCGCAGGCCTGGGGGACCCGTGAACATCCCCAAGGGATGCACCCAACGCGTGGTGATGTTTTTGTTCTGCATCCTAAAGGCTTCAAATGCTCTGGTAAATTGGGACCCGCTTCGTTTAGCACCAAAACCTGACAACAGCCCCGTCAGAGCCTAGCCCAAGCACTCTGCTGGCATCCCCGGCAATCCCCTTCTCTGTTAGTCCTTATCCCCCCTGCCTTTTGCTCCCACTCTGTCCCTGACACAGGTCGGTATACGTGTTTCAATGAAATCCCTCAAATACTGTGTTTGAAGGAGACCAGCCCCACACCAAACACGAGGCGTAGCAGTTGCCGAGCACAGACAAGCTCAAGAATGCCATTTCCCAAAAGTCCCAACGTGTAACCATCCCCAAACCAACCACCAAAGGCTTCAAACCAATTTCTGCATTAAAAGTATAAAGAGAAAGCCCCCTTCCAGTGCAGGTGGGGAGAGCAGGGACTGAACCTCAACTTCATTTTATGGAAAACGTGCTATTAGTGATGACATTAAAAACTTGCCCGTTCCTGTGTCCCCTGGGGACATTTGGCACACGTTTGTGTCAATGGGAAGCCCAACTGGACACTGTCGGGAGAGAGAAGCAACCTCACACACACATAAACCCAGCAGAAAATTCCCCTTTTACAGAGAAGAGGCGATCAGGAGGCTGTTCAAGGTGATTTCATGGCCCTTGGGAAGTCCAACTTCCCAACGATCCCCACGGAGCACTGAGCCAGCCGTCCGCGCACGGAGCTCCTCTTTAATCACCAATTACCAGGACCTAATTGCTAAGTCGTGGCACGAGTGCCAGAAACTCCAAGCCTGAGGCGAGCTTGACCAGCACACACATATCTGGGTGCTGGCATGGAAATTTAGAAGAAATTTCAAAGGATTCATCCTGCGGCCAACACATACACGGGTGCCTTCTGAAGTGTCCTTACAGCATCCCCCAGCCCAGCCCATTTTGAGCCTGATACGCACGGCACAAACCCCCAGCTCTACCCAAACTCTCCCCCTGCTGTGCCCCTAGCTGTGCCTGGGGAGGAACGGCTGGATGGACGGACAGACACCGCGGGTTCCCATCCCAGAGGGTCGTCCCATGGTCTTGCCTCGCTGCAGCAGCTGGAGAAACCACGTGGAAAAAACCCAAGCTCGGGGAAGGTGCAGCCGAGATGAAACCACGCGGCGAGAGCCTGCAGGCGGCTTGGGGAGACGTGGCTGCAATTCAGAACGAACTTGGCACGCCCAGAAAGCGGTCTGGATGAAATAAGACGCAATCCAATAAAAATGCACGAGGCTGTGCATTGATGCAGGAACAATAACCGGCACAAGCTGAGGGCAGGGAACGGGCAGTACTTTGTGCGGGGAAGATCTGGGGATACAGGGGGTCAGCCGCGGCCAGCGGTGTTGTGTTATTTGAGAACGATGAAGCTGCACAGCAACAGGAGCCCGGTCTGGATGGCAACCTGCTCTTCCCTGCTCAGCCCTGATAACGGGTCCAGTTTTGGGCAGCAACGCCTTCAAAAAGATACAGGCTCGGTGGGGGGAAAAGGAGAGAAGCAAGAACGAGCCCGAGTTTAGAAAATAACCATCTGGGGACGAACTGGATTGGTTCGGTCTGAAGGAAAAGCTGCCGAGGGGAGACGGCACGACAGTCTTCAGGCACGAAAGCAGAGGCTGGAGACATCTGTTTCGCATGTCCCCAGGGAGCAGGACAAAAGCGGAGCGGCTGGCTCAGCACGGGGGGAATCGAGCAGTGGCAGCAGTGGCGAGGAGGGGACAAGAGACCAGGCTGGGGCAGGAGGGCTCCTTGGGCAACGGAGCTTTTGGGTGTCCCATTCGGTTCTCCCAAGGAAATGGGGTGAATTTGGCCCCAAATGGGTTAGGCTGGGGGGGTTTGTTACGTTTTTTTGGAAAATTTCTGCCCACCCTGGTCCCGGCACTGTGGTTTTGCGTCACCCGGAGCCAAGCGCGGCGCACGCGGTCCCTTCCCCAGCTCCCCCAGCAGAAACCTGGAGGAAGGCCACGTGAAGCAGACCCCTCCGTGCTGTGCTCTCTCGACGATGCTCTCCCTGATGACAAGCTCATTAGCGAGCAGAGCCCATTAGAAAACCCTCCTGTCACATCCACAGCCCGCGGCCGCTACCCCAAGGCTACGTCCCGGTGCAAAGCCCAAGCAGGCAGCGGGCTCAGCGCCAAGCATCTGCCTTGCAGGGCAAACCGAGGTGGTTTTCGTGCATTTCTTCCATGCAAATCACACAGAGACAGCCAGGGCCAGCTTGAACACAGCTCCGCGTCAGAGAGACCCGCACATACCCGGATTTGTCTGTTTTTGAATAAAATCAGCCCTCGTGGCTATTAAAAAAAAACAGATTTCCTTATCACCGGGCTTCACGTGATGGAGTTGCTTGGCATTAATAAAAACGTGCTATGTGCCACACACCTGACAGCAGCGGTTTAAATGCATCTCTGGTAGCTGGGGGTCCATTTTCAGTCATTTTCTCTTCTCACAAGAGCACCGGGGCTGTGTGTTCGCCCATTCTGTGCCGTTACCTCTATTTATTCCCCTCCAGCCTCCAGTTTGCTCTCCCTCCAGGACTGCAGCGATGGGGGTTTCGTTTCTGCCTTATTTGCTAACAGGATTACAAAGCTTTAGTGCTAAAAGTCGCGGTGAAAAGCAAGCACGAGGGGGGAAAACAACTGAAAGATGCAGGGTAAATTCAGTCCAAACACGCATCCCGAGCCAAAGCTTCCCCAAATACTCGGTGGGTTCCTACTCACACCAAACACCACAATGATAAATCACCCGTGCCTTTGCTAAACTTAACCGTTTTTCACTGTAATTAAAGAAAAAAAAGAGGAAGAGAGCACCACTCACAGCTACAATCCACAGGCTATGGAGAAAAATCAGCTTTTCGGGGAGGGAACACGCACCTCTAGAAGAAAACCTAACTCATCACCCTACACGATGGTGGCGAGACCAACCCTGTCCCTGAGGCTCCAACCACGACCAAAGCCCGCGTTCCCCAAAACGGCCCCAAAGGGCCCAAAACGTCCAAGCCTCGATCCTGGGGCCAGGCGGGGGCAAAGGGGGGGGAGGCATCTCATTTGTCACTCACCTTTCATACCACTCCCTTCCTCCTGGAATGTGTTACGAGCGGAAGGCTGATCTTCTAAATGTTCACTCCCACCACTTCCCGAAGAGGCTACACTGCTTTGTGGAGACAGGGGGGCATGATCGGAAGGGATGCACTGGGGTCCTCTAGCTCGTAAGTCCTCATGAGACATCCATCCATGTCCTAGAGGTTGGTTTGGCACATTCATGGGTGGGGTAAGGGACACAGAGCGTTTCAAAGGGCTGTGGTGTGTCTGGCCTGAGAGAACTGAAAAAAAATAAAAATCAAACAGGTTATTCCCCCCTCGCGGCCCGGGATGCAGCAGAGTCCCCTGAAAAAATAATTATTAATAATAATAATTAAAAAAAAAAATCAAAATGCGTGGTGGCTCGGCACGGTGCTGATGGTTTCACGGTGCCCAGGGCTACTCGGATCCTACCCTGGGATGGAAAGGGGACGGGGGGATCTGCGAGAGGATGGGGTTACCCGAGCTTGCTGGGGTTGCTTAAGGAAAGGCACCGCGTGGATTTCTCCCTAGCAAAAAAAAAAATAGGGGCTGACATCTGTCTTGCAGGGAAGCTGCAGATGTTATTTCGGGGGGAATGGGAATTTTCAAGCAGCTACACCGAGCTCATTAAGGTCGCCGGGATAAAATCATCCGGACACGTATCCTGCCCCAGAACCAAACCCTTCTGGGAAAGGCACAGAAATTCCCAGAACAGGGAAGCCACCACAAAGAGGCACGGGGGAAGCCTTTCTCTCCGAGTTAGGACTCGGCTTATGCCCTGAAGCACGAGCATTTCCTCATCTGCCTAAGGTAACCGTGGAGGTCCTTATTATCCAAATAACTGCCTCAGCCTCTTTTGAGTCCTAGCGAGCTCCTGCACGCAGTCGAGCTCGCGTCGGTAATGAGAGCATCCCCGCTCCTCAGCCCAGCAGGCGTGCTTTCATCTGCACGCCGCCTTTCAACCCTCCCGGAGAAGCAAACTGCAAAGCCCTGGCACAAACACGGCAAAGAGGGGCGTCTGAGGCCCTCCAGAAGCCTCTTTGGAAGGCTTTGTATTTCTTTTTCCTCCCATTTTTTATGCATGCATGTATTTCCCAGCTGAACTTTTAATACCACCAAGTTCAACTTGTTTTTAACAAATAAATTTGACAAGGCTAGGAAAAGAGCAATGCACTGACTCCTGCCATTTCACGTTATTTCTTGAGGATTTACAACAGGTAGGTATTTACTTGCCTCTCAGTCAAGTAGACGAGTACGTCTTAAGGCATTTTAAACTACCATCAAAACAAAATCTTAGATTTTCTCTATTTAGAGAAAAAGATGGCTATGGATGAATTAGTTATTTCCTGTAAATGAAAAACACAGGAAAAGTTCGGCCTGTTGGCATAGCAAAATTCAGATCCCATCGTTCACAAAGTCATTAAGAGTAGTCAATGCATTTTGATGTACAGATTTAGGATAGGAAACGCTTGTTTAATGCTTTACTGCAGTTCCACTCAGTGAAATCAGACTTCCTGGGAGCTGTTCCCAGATAACCGAGACCCAAAAAATCCCTGGATTTGGTCACTGCTTCACTGTGCTGGTGGGATGGCACGAGCGCCCGAATGAAGGATCAGCTTTCTGAATGAAGGAGCATCGGGAAACGTCACCCAACTGCACATTTAGTGAGAAAATCTGCTGAAAGTCTGCCAAATTATCACTTTGGGGAAAGAGCCAGGGCTCGCTGCCTGCTGGGGCAGCAGGGACAGGTCCTGCAACCCACGCCGCTTCGCATGGAGCTGAGGTGCTGCTGCTGTTTGCAGCGTGCCCGGGTGTAGATGTGCAGTTTGCATCAGGAGGGCTACCAGAAAACATCTTGTGCTGCTCCGTTACAAGAGGTTCACGTCTAGAGATTCGAGCAGATCTGCAGAACGACACCGATTTCTCAAAATTAGCAGCCGCAAGCTTCACCGCACGGAAGAAATGAAAAAGGAGATTTTCTGGCCCAGGGAAATCCGAGGGCACAGGGCGTTAAAACGACCTTTCAGCCCATATGGGACTGCAGCGAAAACTGTTCAATTTTTCCTTCAAAACCGATTTCCTTAAACCCATACAAAACCTCGGGGAAACGCACCATTCTTGTTGTTTTTCCCCCAAAAGCGCCGACGTGAAGCGCCTCCCTAACCACCTCATTCCGCTGCTAGGAGCGCAGCAAAACCTCTGCAGGCTCGGCGCGTTGTTTCCTAACACAAATGAGTCTTGGTGGAAAACTGGCAGCCAGGTGTAACGTGCCGCAGAACTTAAGCCAGGTTTCAATTCCCAGCTAATGCCCGGGGGGGAAAACACCATCAAAGCCATCCCCGCTGCCCAAAAGCGTAATGAAAACGAGCAGGTAGCCCGTTGACGAAAGGAGGGGAGAGAAAAAAAAACCCAGAGCTCGTTTGCTTTTATTAGGCACCTGTAAAAAGCAGCCGGTGCCGCACGCAGCTGATGGATGAGGCTGAAACCCTGCAGATTTCTGCAACGTCTCCATCGCTCCTGCTTCTCTCCCCTCCAGGCACGTACCACGAATGTTGCGCAGCAGGAAGGGCTCACGCTAAAGAAATTGTTCCCTTTCCATTCAACAACGACAGAAATGTCCTGCAGAAGCCTCCTGGGAGAAAAGGATGTCAGTGAGGACCTCGAATTGTTTTCAGAGCAGCGTTAAGTTTCCTAAAGTTGCGGCGTTTCCTGCCGGGAAAGGAGATATATTTAAGGTTTTCTTGGCCGAGATATTTCAGCACTGACAGCTCAGCTGGGAGGGCAAACACCGCAGCTCCTGGCTTTGTGGTGGCGCTCCAAAAGTAGCACTGGCACGGGGCCCTGGAGATGTCACGTCGCCCTCCCAGGGGAAAAAAAGATCTAGCATTAAAAAAATGTTAAAAAATGGGGGGGAAATATGGGATGAAAACGGTAAATGAGCTGGAAAGCATCACCGGTGCTGGGCACTGGAGCTGCATCGTCCCTGCTGTGCCCAGGGGCACCCAGCCACACCGCCCTGCTGTGCCCAGGGGGCTGAAGCCACCCCAAATTCTTGCGGGAGAAATTCTGGATGAGGAAATATCCGTGCCCTTTGGGTGAAGGAGAGGTGCAGGAAACGGGCACGGGCAGCTGGGCACCACTGCCTACGGGCTCGCAGGACAGGAGCTGTGTGTGGGGTGGCTATGGGATTGCTCGCAGGACGTGCAGGGCTGCTCCATCGGCCCTGCATGACAGCTCTCACCCTGCTGTGCCTGCGCTGTCCTCGCCCCAACAAAACCTTCCAAACAAGAGGATGTTTTTGGCTTCAATCCAGCCCGGATTCCTTCCTGAGCAGCAATACCCTTGCAAACTGCTGCTCGTCCATCTTCATTTTCCTTCCCCTAATTAGAAGCCGTTGTCGGCTGGTGGAGAAATAATGAACGCCGCAGGATGGTCAGGAACAATTAGAAATCACCCGGTGCAACCTGTAAGAATTAGTTCCACTTCTTTTTTCTGAAATAACGTGAAGCCAGAGTCCAGCAGGCTGTATTTCACTAAGCCATGAGCAGGTTTTCTAACCCCCAACTCAATCCACACAGCTTCCCAGTGATGAGCTAGGGGCAATTCCTCTGGCGAGGATGCTATGGGCACAGAAAGTCACCAGCGCTTTGAAAGCTCCCCGGCTGCTCTTGTTGCCATCAGCAGCTCTGATGCACATTTTAGAATCTGACTTTTCAGTTGTGGTAAGAGAGCCTGGAGCCTGCAGGCGATGCTTTAAGGCAATCACTTCCTAAACAAGCCAGGAGCGTGACACATGCTTGCTGCTCGGTGCAGAGCACGGTGTCCCTGCCCCTTTATTGGCACCTTTACCAATCCTGCTGCTCGCACTCAATTCCTTTAAATAGCAGATGAAGCTAATGATCTTGAAAGGGTCAGCTCAGGGCAGTTCCTTCCCAGCTTTTGGAGCACTTTTTGGATGGTCCGGGGTGAAGCCAAGAGCTGAGCAGGGACAATTTGCTCCTTCAGCCTCTCACCCGAACAAATGCCCCATGCACGCTTCAGCAGCAGCAGAGACAGGAATGCCTGCTTCATTTTCTCCTGCTCTGTCAAAATACAAAGCTCTAATTTAAATATCAAGCTGATGTGTTCTTCCAGGGCACGACCAGCTTCCACGGTGCAGCCAGAGGAACTCGAGCTGCGAACAAAGAGAGGAAACGCGCCGAGGGGCGGCCGTGGGGCTGAGCCGGCACACGCGAGTGCTGCAGCCCTTGAGCGTGTCCCGCTGCCGGGCTGCGAGGGTTTTTCCTGCCCACTTGTATCCGCACTGGAAAATTCAAAGGATGTGCAAGCAGATCTGTGCAGAGCAGATCTGTGCAGAGTGGAAAACCCAGCTCACCGGAGCGCTTCCGCGATTTTCTGCCGTTTCTCACCCACCGGCGTGTTTGGTTGGAGCCCCGTGCCACTCACTTTTGTCTCCTTCTGCCTTTGTTGACCCAAGAGAGAGCTGATAAATAAATCCGAAGCAGGGCACGATGAGTCCTACCTCCTCTTCTACATCACCACTGCACAGAGTGAATGTCCCACGAGAAGCAGCTCCGCCTAGGGATCGCTGCGCTGCCAGCCTGGCTCCTTCCACCCAAATCTAACAGCCCCTGCTCCACGTGGCAGCCCGTTTTTGTGCAGATTGGCACCACCTGCTTGCACCTCGACCCCAGTTCTGAATGTCCACGGGTGCTCAGGCCACGCCAGACCTTGTTTCCCTGCAAAGAAAGCCCCCCTGGCCCACCCAAACGCACCTGAACTGCAGCCGGCCACAACCTGGCAGTCGCTGCTAAATGTATGTCCTCTGAGATCAGCCTGAGACGTGTGGCATCCTGGGGAAAAAACGTAATAAATAGCCTGGAGCCAGCACGGAGAAATGCGAGGTGCTGCCGAGGCGCTCTTAGGTTTCCAACCGAGCCAAGCTTCAAATTTCCAGGGGACAAAAATAAAGGGGTAGGGATGGAGCCAGGGTTACGAGCGAGCGCTCCCGAGCACGGCCGGAGGAGGATGCTGAGGATGCAGGAGAGACGTTGCTCTATCCCTGTGCCTCCCCAGGTAAAACCACCTTTATTTCAGCCTCAACACTGGCCAGGTAGAAGCCACCACGAGGGATTTAGAGAAACTCTGGGGCTGCAGGGTGTGGGATTGTTTCCCCTACAAACCAGGCTCCGTTCGGCCCCGGGCAGCTCCGGCTCTCGGGCAGCCGAGCTCAGGGTTTATTTTTTCTCTCTTCCTTTTT